CTCCCGTACGCAAGCTTTGGATGAAGAAACCGATCATTTCTTCTTAGTATACGTATTTTTAAGGGAAACTATGCATCCATCCACAGCAGTGGGTTCCGTGACTTCCTGTTAAAGCCGGAACTCCTACGTGCTATAATTGACTGCGGATTCGAACATCCTTCTGAAGGTGAGTGTGACAGTCCCAGCAAGACATTTGTACATATTTTTAATACGTTCCCCTACAATTTATCATGTTTTTAGTTCAACATGAGTGCATTCCACAAGCCATCCTGGGAATGGACATTGTCTGCCAAGCTAAATCTGGCATGGGTAAAACTGCTGTCTTCGTTCTTGCTACGCTCCAACAGCTGGAACCTGTTGATGGAGAGGTGCATTTTATTTGATAGTTGTGACTTCAGGAGAAGAAGAACACAAACGTTTTACAGGTTTCCGTACTCGTCATGTGCCATACTCGAGAATTGGCATTCCAAATTTCGAAAGAGTACGAACGCTTCAGCAAGTATCTATCTGCTATCAAGGTAATTTTTTAAAAATTTTGCCATCCTTTTTGTCACTGTATCCTTCATTAGCGTATAACATTGGGACCTCTTTCCTCCTTCATCCTTTTCCAGGGAAAGTACCTCCTCATTGCGTTTTAACGCTTTACAATACCTTTATGATATGTCAATCTACATTTTGCAGGTCGCCGTCTTCTTTGGTGGCATGCCCATCAAGAAAGACGAGGAGTTGTTGCGCACGAATTGTCCTCACATTGTCGTGGGTACTCCTGGCCGCACCCTTGCTCTAGCCAGATCTGGGAAACTGAAGCTTGACAAGATCAAGTACTTCGTTTTGGATGAATGCGATAAGATGATCGGAGATGCTGGTACGTTGCATTGTCCTTCAAATCATAATATATCTTACACAACCTGATTACCATACCCGAAAAAAATAGGATATAAAGTGGAACAGAATTCTCCCTTTTGGCAAGGGGATCAAATGGGTTCTTAATCTTACGTGACACTCAGCTGACTATAACTGGTAAAGCTCTTGTGTCTCAATTATCAGTCAGAAAGTTTAACTTTAGATCTCATATGTGAATTACAAAAGGTACGAGTTTGATATTTTAGACATGCGCCGTGACGTACAGGAGATTGTGAAGATGACGCC